ATAATGTTGCATAAGGCATAAGTTTATACATGTCTATTAAAATATATATGAATATATGTTTTATTCAAGATGTATTTAGAAGAACCATATTATCATATTTAAGCAGATTCTTCAATTTTTAAGACTGAGTTATGCAATATTTCTTCCCATAAGCTCACTCTTTAAACAAACAATTTATAAAGCAGTTGTCTTATGAACTGTGTTCTGATAAGTTTGTTTAGACACAACAGTTTTCATAACTGTCACTGCACATTGAGTTTCTTATATTTGCTTTGGACAGCAAACTGCCAACTACCTGCAAACGCTAGCAACTTCATACAATTTGTTTTGGCAAAAGGTCACCATGCAGAAATTTTTCTGTAAGATGTGGCAAGTCAGATTTCATACATACTATCCTCACTGGAAATAAGGCTCGAGATTGTTGTTTCTATAATACCCATCAAAGTTAGAGCAACAAAGAAAGAAATGCTAGTCAGGTTGCTCTACTCTTTCACTATTAAAGTTTACTGCACTGTTTAATTTCTGATCATGTTAAAGTCCCATGTAGCTCCTACAGTTAAATTAGATCTGATCATAGGAAGAGAATGTCAAGTCAGATTTCAATCTCAGTTGCATTCAGAACAATTCCACCAAGTCAATATATTTACTTTTATGTAAATGGTTCAGATTCAGATTCTTATCATTTGGTTTGATTTTTGGAAGGAAAATTTAGGAGTCCACATTGACAACCCATAACCTTTCTTTTATCTGTACATCACTGCAGAAGTGCTGTTTTCTATTCTCTGTTGTTATGGCAGCATGTTTTCCAAGATATCATATTAATCTGTCTCCTACAAATTCTACTGGTTTTTCTTATAAAAAGCCTTGTAGATAGATATGAGATCTATGTCCAGTTTGAGGTGTATCATATTAAAGAGATGGATGCCTTGAACTGCACTCAAAAGCATTCAGATCCCGATACTGACATTTTCGTATTCTCTTGTTCTTCTTTTAAGTTTTATTCCCCAATACTTTACCAGCATTTTTTGAGTCAGAGTTCTGTGTTGTCCAAAATGCTCTACCCACACAAAAACACAAAAATGCATTTGGCAGTCTTGCCCCCAATATAATACTCTTCCCTCCATACTTAAATGTGGGTCTAAAGTAGATTTTAGACCCTTCAGTGAATGCTTTACTGTGCGCAGAGTCAGAAAAAGACACCAGGAACCGACCATATGTGAGTCCAAAATACACTGTAACCCATGGAACAGAGCTTCCCCGGCAATATGGAAAATGATGTTAGCTTACAACAAAATTATGAACCACTTAAACACAAGAGCAGCAAGGCCCTGAGATTTGCTGGTTCAGAAGGAATCAAGAAATCCTCCATATGCACATATTTTAAGTGCATTGATTAGATCATTGTTCTGACACTGACACTGCAGACATTTATAGTCATGAGTTACTTAATGTATAAATGGCACATTGCCCTTAATGACAACATTCACAAACATGCCTTTTTTTTTTTTTTGTGTTCATCTCTCTATTTCAGATACTGAACCGTTTACAACACCAAAGAAGCATAGAACTGGAAGGCAGAGAACAGTAGCCTCAGACCTCCTGGTTAGGGCTCTTTCTGGGAAAGTTGGTAATACAACTTTGAGCTGAGCTTATTAAATGTTAATCAAGTTACCCTTTTGTCTTTGTGTAACAGGCTCGTACTCCTACACCCATTCACAGATGCCTGTTCCCAGTCCCAGTCAGGATTTCTTTCCCCTCAAAGTCAGCACACTCAACATTTCATTTGGCTGTGAAAGCAAAAAACTTGTGAAGGAGTCATAGGACAGGGAAAAGAATTACGTGGAGATGGAAGGAGAAGGTGTTTTGGCCAATGATAAAACAAATGTTTCTGTAAATAGCAAACCCACCTTGGACTTCTACAACTTCCTTTGTCCAGTCAGGCTTCAATCTACTACTTAGGCCAGCAGATGAACTGCTCACTTGACAGTTCTCTAACTAAGAAAGAAATCTTTCAGGGAGAAGGTCAGAGGAATGTATTTTTCTTCGTTGCTTTGAAACTGGTGGCTAGTTGTGCCTACAAGGCAAAATGACAATCCTGACATCATTACTCTGAACCTTCTCAAACTGAAGCAGTGAGTGAGTTAGGACTCTTCTAGTTGCTAAACTGTAAGATGAAATTGCACTTGCCATCAGTAGTATCTAGAAATAAAAGGGTGCATTGTCAATAATTCTTTGTAACAAAGGACACTGACACTGATTTTCTGAGGCAAGTTCTGACTCTGGATTCCCAGTGAACACAAATGAGATTCCCAGCTGACATAAATACTTTTCTGGAGGTATATATGATGTATGTACTCCCCAGCAGTCATGTTGATAGCCATTATTTTGAGTTAGAATTCAAGGATCTAACTGTTAAGATTAAATGATTTGCTCATGGATAGTAACTGTGCTAGAAAAATAAGAACGTAGGTTAGAATTAGTTGTCTTCCTTGTTCTTCCTGTCATTGCATTCCAGAATGAAATATCAAAGTAAACCTTAGAAGCCAAATCCCAGTAGTGCTGGGAGTTATGTCTGTACTGTAAAAGCAACAGAGATGGAACAAACACAGGCTTTCATGAAAGTCTAGGGTGAAGGTTGTATTCCTGGCTCATCGCATCATTTTGTTTCTTCCATTTTTATTTTTTTTTACTTTATGTTTCCACGTCCTTCAAAGGAGCATGTTTTATTGGTTATGTGTTAGGAGTCAGACCAATGTGTTAGGAGTCAGTCCACAAGCTTCTTGTGGACTTGCTGTTCAGGGAAGCAACTTACAATCTTCCACATGCTACTCATAAGATGAGTTACTAGTACTTATTTATAGCAACAGATAAAGCTAAGCTAAGCTGCAAAGTGTGTTGATATTCTTGACTAAAAGGTGCTGCACAAAATGCAAATTACTACTGTTTCTCTTCTCTTCATCATGACACCTCTTGGCTCCAATTTTAACACAGTATTCTCTTCTGTCTCTTCTTACAATTGTGTTATATTGTTCTCCTTGCTCCCTCCTATCACCTCATTTTTCCTTCCACATCAAGAAGCCTTTCTCAGTAATAGTTCTGGCATTTGGGCATAAGGAGTGTGCCCCACTCAGAAACATAATAATATTATATCACTCTAAAATGTAGTTATCTTTGGTTCAGCTCTGGATGTCATTTACAATAGTTCAATAGAATATTCAGTAGAATAGATGATGATGGGTCTGATTCTTTTCACTTGTGTCAGACCTATTCCCATGTAACTCCATTGCCCCCAATAGCATTCAGCTGATCTTAAATGAGTAGTAATGGAATAAATATAGCTGAGCTTTTTTTAAGCATCCATAGCAGATCAAGTGTACCACATCAGTGGACTGCACATTTTTGTCATTAACAGTCAAAACTGTGAGGCCTCTGTGGAACTCTGCAGCCTCTAAAGGCCTATATAAAACACATAAGCACCTAAGATAAAACAATGAAGATATTAATTTATCAAAATTGGGCAAAGAGAATTTGCCAGTTTCAGGGTGTACTGTAAGACCCTATCTACTGCCAAAGCATTTCCATTTTTACAAATAAGGGCACTGCTAATACAACATATTTCCTGTAACTTCTTTCCATGGGGAATAGCTTAGAAACATAGGGGAGCAAGAAAATTCCTGGCGTTGCTTCACAGTTTTCCTGACATAGAGGCACTAACCTGAGCAGGAATAGTGATCCAGATACGAAGATTCTTGCTAGGTTTGCATCAAATTATTTCCAACAGCATTTACTATTTACATAACACTACTAAAATATTTTTAGATGCTCTGTCCAAATGAATTTGTCACTGTGATCTCAGTGAAATCACTTTTTTTTCTTTCCGAAGAAATTTGCAAAAAGTTTTCTAATTCTTAGAGATAGAAGTATAGAGTTCTAAAACTATTAATTACTAAACAGAAAAAAGAAGCAACCTAAGAAATTAGAATTTAAGTAATCAAAATATTCAAAGCCACCTTTTGTTTTTTAATGAAAGACTCCTTGAAACAGTGATAACAATGTGGACTTAGGCTAGAGAGGTCACACTGAACTCACAGAATTTTTTTTAGACATTACTGCCATGGCAGATAAGAGAAATTCAGTGCATGTACTATACTTAGATTTTAAAAAGGCAGCTGACAAGATTCTATACCAGAGATAAATTTCTTAGCTACGGTCATCGAATGACAAGAACAATAGTGTAATGGACAAAACACTGGCATAATAGCAGAACACAAAAAGATACCTGAATATAGATGTTTCATCCTATTAAAGAAGAAAAAGGTGGATTAAATATATAAAATAAGAACAAATTTGAAGACTAGTCCTCTAGATCTCCCAGACTGGATGGTGCGCATGATTACAAAAGGGAAACCAAACATTGAATGAATCAATTTTTGTGCTTACTCCTCAGAGAGCTGAAGGTGTGTAGATCTGTCAAGGATGGTCATACTGATTGAATTTAGATCTGTCGTGCCTGCATTATTGGACCAAGGTAGCACTTATGATGAGAGATAAACAGTTTTTTTAGCAAAGATTAAAAAGTCTTCTAAGCTGTCAGTGATTTTAATGTCTGGCAAACAATGACTAATAGAGGGTGCTTCCAGCTCCCCCTGTGCATCACAGAGAAATGATAGGCATCAGAGTTCTTCCTGGGAGTAAGGAATGAGGAAGAAGAAGTGGGTCTGAGTCAAAGGAAAGCTGAACCACCAAAGCCATGAAGCGAGCAATACGTTTACAAGCAAATTGAGGTACAAACTCTGTATAGTTTCTGGAGCATAGAGTAGGGGGAAAGAAAGTCCGTAGCATGGATGAAAGATTGTCGGACTCCCTGCCTCCAAATGCTACTCTGCAAAGCTCTTCCACTTGGTGTTTGTGCAGGGTGCACTTCTGTACTACGTGTGGCAAGTATTTTCCTGTAAGACATAAGAAAAATCTTGAAACCAAGCATAAATACGAAGCTGTAATGTATATTATTATTAAATGTGAATCAATATGGTATTACACCAGTGCTTCACCAATAAGAAGAATTGCATTAAACTGGTAGCACAGTAAGAGAATGGTTGTATATGGGACAGTGATGGGGAAAGAGGAAGGAGCATCCACAAGTTCAAGGAATAGGTAGGTATGTCTCTTCGTGGAGGAAAAGGTATTGAGGGAAAAAACCCACAGGGCAGATGTATTGGTCTGGATAAGACTGTATGGTATTATGTCTTTATTAACTAGTCCTAAGTGGTAGAGGTTCTGAAAACATGTAAGTAAAAGCATTCTAGGACTACTGTGAAAAATAAAAAGGATAATTATTATAAAAATGGTACTCTCAAAGCTCTCAAAGCATTTTTTATTAAATCAAAATTATACTGATGTAACATTAAGAATGAGATTTTAACTGAAATGTTTAAACCAAAGGTTTCTTCAAGAAACCCTCACACTGTTCCCATGAGTATATGCATAACAATAGATTCTTTCATTGTGTACTGAATTTTTGCATCAGACACTGAATAATAATTATTTTCCACTGTAGCTTCACCCCAGCCTACCTGGAGTTTCACAACACCACAGAAGAAAGCTGCTTTCTGAATAGGCAGCTCCTCAAAGAGGCAGTGATCTACCAGATGCTAAGAGGATACACAGAAACATGAGGGAGGGCTTAAGCCAGTATATAGGAGAGAAACCAGATGTGTGAGAAACATTATACAGACACTGTCAAAAATGAAGAAAGAAATAGCTTGAAGAAGCAGATGGGTGGACAAGGTGACAATAATATCAAATAACAAAACAGACAACAAAATGCCTGGGGGTAGGGGGGTGTGGAAAGGAAAGAAAAATTCACAATACTTAAAGAGATAAAACCAGGTAAATATGAAAATTTTTGAAAGCAATGAGGCACTCATGGGTTTTTCTAAGATGTGTGTATGCAAATTCAAGAAGTATAGTAAAGATGACATCAATAGTAATAATTGTTAGAGCTCTGAATTTATCAGGGTCTCAAACAGGTTAATGACTGTGGTGTACAGCTGCATATAGAGTTATAGCTGGTCTCAAAATGAAAGGTACAAATGCCCAGATCCTTTTAGGTACTGTTTAAAAATTTTAAAAAGAGTTATATACTTACATTGATTCAATCGTAATTGATCTACAGAATCTTAAAAGAGGCATAAAAGCATCCATGCACAAAGCTGTACGATTTTATTGATATTATTCAAACGTTATTGCTATCTTTAGCATTTAGTTCACATCATGCAAAACTCTTGTATAAATAAACCATAGTTAAGTTGATTTGCAGTTGTTATTAGCTGGCAATGTCCGCATTCAGTTTTCAGCGGACCCTAAGGTTCCACTCACAACACTGCAAATTTTTGAATTGATTTTTCGTTTAGGTATTTTCCCTCAAAAATCTCAACAAACAATGGGAGGAAGAAAATGGATACCAGCCTAGAACAGCTTCATTGATAAAATGAACTTGATCTGTGTCTGATAAATCTTGATATTCAGGCAAGGTGAGTGTTTCAATAGCTTTTTCTATGGCTTTACATTTAATTTGCATGAATTAAAATAATTGACCAAGTACAGAGTATATTAGAATCCAAGCTACTATGTCTTAACATCTTTCGGTAGTATTAGAAAAGGGATCTGTCTAAAGGAAATTCACCTCTTTACAGTAGGTCAGTAGCCACGGAAAATTTCAAAATGAACAAAAAGTAGGCAACAACATGGAAGAAAAAGAACAGTAAGACTAAACAAAAGAAGTTAAAAGGTTGGTTGATTTGCTTTCTTGCACAGTTCCTACACTAATTTTTAGCAGAGTGACTTGTGAGTTATGTTGTTGTAAAAGAAAGGAGAAAACAGGATAAAGTTAGGATAAATTGACTAATAGGAGCAAGACATCAGTGAAAGAAACAGTAAGGCCTCAAAAAGATAGTGAAAGTAATTTATTGACAGCCTAGGTAAGCATTGCTAAAAATTTTAATGAATTCTGAGCCTCAGTGTTCACAGAGGAGGATTGGGAACAGATGCCAGAAACAGACATAAATTTAACAGCAGAGGTGGAAAGCATACTGAAGAAACTCAAGATCGTGCCAGAAGAGGTGACCTAGAAATTAGGACATTTAAAGACTGACAAAACTAAAGGACCAGAAGGTACACATTTGATGAAGCGTCCCAGAAGAGATAGGGAAACCTTTAGGAAGTTTATTTATAATCTCTTTGGAACTGAAAAGGGCAAAGTAGCACATATTTAAGAAGTGATCTAGCTAAAATCTAGAAAGCTTGACTTGTAAGATGAAAGGTGAACCAAATACTTTGAAAGATAAAGATATCAATTAACTACATGGATTTTCTAAAGCTGTACAAGGCCATGAGCGTGAATTTCAGAATTACTCAGAAGTACATTTCTACCTTAAAACCATATGAATGATTATTTATCTAACAATACCTTTAAGTTCTGTATTTCCTAAGCTTGGTGCTTTTCCCCTGTTAATGAGCTCTATAACAGGTGATCATTACTAATGTACATAAACATTGGAGACTTTGCTATACAATTCTAACAATATGAAGACATTGAAAGCATTGGATCATGTACTTTGAGAGAAAAAAAATCTGTAGCATGTCAAAGAGAATTAATAATGAAACTGAACCTAAAAATATAGAACAAAAAAAAAAAAAAACGACAAACCAAACAAACAAAAAAAAAGGAATGAGAGCAAAATGTAAGCTTTACTCCTTCCCCTCTCTGAAGAAGTACTACCATTTGTTTGAGATTTTGTGACCCTGGCAGGACTGGGTTCTCCACAGTTCAAGAAAGAGGTGGAGAGGTGTACTGGAAAGAATTCAGATAAAGACCACAAAGATGATCAAAAGGCTGGGGAACCTGTCTTATGAGAAAAGACTGAAGGAGTTCAATCTTTTCTTCTTGGTGAATAGAAGATGCAGGGTGATATTTTCATGGTATTCTAGTACTTAAAGGGCAGCTACAAAGAAGATGGAGGTTCTATCTTCACAAAGAACGACACAGAGAAGATAAGAAGCAACAACTTCAAGTTTCCTTAGGAGAGGTTTCATCTTGATACAAGAAAGAAATTTTTTATGATGAGAACAATGAGTGAAGTCCTCACTCCTGGAAGTGTAATTAGGCAGGATGCTAAGTAATCTCATCTAGGCTCCCTTTCCCGTGAAAGGTTGGACCAGATGATCTTTCAGTATCCCTTAAAACCTGAGTTGTTCTGTAATTCTATTCTGTCATGAATTGGTTCATTTGCCATGTCCTTTGGTGGGTTATGGAAAAGTGCACTCTTTTGGTAATACTGAGAAAATGCTCACTAATACACATAGCCATATATTCTCTGTTCTGAGATGCATTTGGTATTCCAGGGACTTATCTGTGTCACTGCTTCTGGCCATCTGCTTTTCTAAGGTCGAATCTGACATTGCCAGGCATTTTCTCTGCAGTCCAGAATGTCCTAGCCCTGCACCGCTCACCTACAGGATGCTTGAAATGGCTGCAGTTTCCAGTCCACAACTCTCCTTGCTTGACAGCCTTTCTTTAAAAACATAAATCTGACCCAGCATATGATTTCTAAAACTCGGACAATATGAAGTTTCCACTCATTCCTGATTTTATCAAAGGATTTTCCTGTGATATAATCCTCTAATCCAGCAGACTTATGAACTTAATTAAATTCAACAAAAAGAAACTATGACAACTACAGAATTGAGATAGTTTGCTTAGTTTGCAAAAAAAGGTTTAAAGAAATTCAAATGGATTAGGCAAAAACTATAGAAAAATTATCTCTTGAGTTCCTAGCAAAGGTTTTTCAGAGAACTCAAGAGAAGTTTGCTGCAGGCCTGGTGATCTATGGTACTGACAGTATGTTACATTAATGTCCCAAGGATTGACATATATATGTTATAAAGGGTAGTTATAAGTTGTAACAGTTGTGAATGAGGGAAATATCAGACAAGTATAAGGCCAAAGTAACACTAATAAGACATATTTTATTCACCTTATATAAAAGTAACCTGAAACACAGAATGTGCAGTAACAGGCTGAAATTTGATGACTGCACAAAACTTGAAAATAAGTCAAAATGAATAAGGTGGACACTAAAATAAAGAGCAGTTGAAAAGGCTAAGACCAAGGACAGATATATGGTTATGACATAATACAGAAAAATATAAGAGAAAGACACTGAAGATGAAAAGAAAGATTTTCAATTTTCAAACAGCAATACAGAAAATCTAGATGTAGGGAATATATCACGTAAACCTTTGACCCATTGCTTATAAGCAGTAAATTGTAAGAAACTGAAATTAGAGCCACATAAGAAGGCTCAGGAAATTGAGTGGGAATTATTTGACTGATGTAAAGATATGACCAGCAAAATAGTGCTTTATTGGGCATAAACCTCAAAACTAAAGGGTTAAAAATATCAAATAAGAACATTTTGATAAGGACTCAGTTCTTTCTTTGGAGAGATTTCATTGAAATTAACAGGTTTCTTCATATATCTACATTAAAAAAAAATAAAAGTGCCCCAAAAAATTAGCTTTCACTTGTTTTTAGTTATCATTCTGATTACTTTGACCAATACCTCAGGTAGTTTATGATAGCATACTGTTCAATTCTGTGAATGTAAATTCACTGAAGTTCACCTTCTGGGAAAAAAAATGCTTGCCAAAATGCCCAGAACAAACGGATAGTCTTTTGGTAAACAGTTGCAGTCAACCTCCTGCCTAATCCACCCAAACTGTTATCACTGTATTTTTGTTGTAGGTCTCCTGCCACGTTGTTCTTTATCAAGAGGTATGCTCAGTTCTGGAACTGCTGCACCAAAGACTAGATTTTCTAAGATCAGAGCAATTCTGCCTTCAGTCTGAGAAGCAGAGCTGAGATCTCTCAGCAGTGGTCAGGAAGGTAGGGAAAGATTTCTCTCTCTGTGGCTGATTCTTTCTCTGAAAGTTTCTGGCCTGCTTTCTCCTATAATGTTTCTGAGTCCACAGAGCCTCAGAACAGCTCATCTTCTGGTTGCCAACTATGTAGCTTCCTCTGAAATCCTTTTCTATATATCTGCTTTATTACCTCAACAGTGAATGTGAGGTTTACACTTCTGTTTGATTTCACTGAGATTATCTTGTGGGCTGGTGGGAGCATCTGATATACATAGCCCAGTACAGCTTCAGTGACAACGGATATTGAGAAATCTGAGATACTCAGCAAGTCCTTCCCCTGAGTCTTCACTGGCAGTCAGGCTTCCCACATCTCTCAAGTCCCTGAACCTCCAGACTGGGGTTGGGGGAAAGAAGTAAACAAAGAGCAGTTTGAGACCATCTGGTGGAAGTGAAAAGGCACAAGTCTCTGGGTCCTGATGTATCAGAGGGTCCTGAGGGAACTGGCTGATGTGATTGAAAAGTCACACTTCATCCAATTTGTAAAGTCATGGTGATCAGGTGCAGCTTGGAAAAAGGGAAACTTCCCTTCTATTTTTAAAAGTAGGATAAAGGAAGACCTAGGGAATTACAGGGTGGTGAGCCTCGCCTCTCTTCCTGAGAGGACCATGGAACATAACCTTGTGGAAGCAATATTAGTGCACATACAACACAAGGAAGTGATCTGAGACCACCAACACAGCTTCACTAAGGGCAAATTGTGCCTGACCAACACGCTGCCTTCTATGATGGAGTGACTGCAACGGTCAAAAAGGGAAGACTGATCAATGTCATCTACCTAGATTTCTGTAAGACATTTGACACAGTCCCACATGACATCCTTAACACCAAATTGGACACCTGTGTTTGAAGGGTGGCCTATTGGGTGGATAAGGAATTAGCTGTATGGGTGCAGCCAGAGAGATATGGTCAATGTCTCTATGTCTAGGTGGAGGACAGTGAACAAATGGTGACTGTCGGGGCTCTGTCCTGGGACTGGTGCTCTTTAAAATCTTTATCAGTGACATAGACAATGAGATTGTGTGCACCCTCAGCAAGTTTGCAAATGACACAGAGCTGAGCAGCACAGTAGACACAACAGAAAGAAGGTGTGCCATCCAGAGAGACCTGAGAATTGGGCCCATGAGAACCTCATGAGGTTCAACAAGCCCAGGTGCAAAGTGCTGCTGTGGTAATCCCAGACACAAGTACAGACTGTAAGAAGTCATTGACAGCAACCCTGAGGAGAAGGTGGATGAAAAGATGGCAAAGTGTGTTTGCAGACTTCAGCAGTGTTTCTCCCCCTCTACTCTGCCCTCATGAGACCCCACCTGGACTACAGCTCTGGGGTCCTTAGCATAAGAAAGATGTGGACCTGTTAGCGTGGGTATAGAGGAGGGTCACAAAGATAATGATAGTACTTGACCACCTCTCCTACAAAGATAGGCTGGGAGAGCTGGGGTTGTTCAGCATGGAGAAGAGAAGGTTCTGGGGAGATCTCATTGTTTTCCAGCACTTAAAGGGGGCTTATAAAAAAGGGAGATTCACTTTTTGCATGGGCAGATAGTAATCAGGCAAGGAGGAACATTTTTAAGCTAAAAGAGGAAAGATTTCGTTTAAATATTAGGAGAAAAATTCTCTAATACCAGGGTGGTGAGACACTGGAACAGGCTGCCCAGGGAATTTGTGGATGCCCCATCCCAGAAGATGTTCAAGGCCTGGTCGGATGGTGCCCAGAGCAACATGATCTAGTGAGTGGCATCCCTGCCCATGATAGAGGGAGCTGAAACTAGATGATCCCTTCCAACCCAAACTGTTCTATGATTCTATGATCCACAGTTGAACCCTTATACGCAATGAGCTCAACACCTGGGTGAGAATGTGGCTGGTTGTTCCTGATTCTTGTGCCCATCTTCAGATATCTCATGTTGTCATGTACACACAGAAGGATATAAACACAGTGGGATATAAACAACATGAAAATCCTGGGTTGGGTCCAAACTATCCTCACTTATCTGCATGTTTCCCACATGAGCATATGATTTACCAGTAAGTAGTTCAGTTAACTTCAACGTAACATAAAGAAAATGTAAAGTCATTAGAAGCACTGAACATTTGGCAGGTTTTTTTAATGCTTTAACTATAATTAATAAGTGTGGTAACAGGTTTTTGTGAAATGGTACAGCAGACAACATAGAGAAAAGAGTGGATTTTTTTTTGAGAGAGAGAGAGTTCTGCTTTTTATAGTAATTGGGATATAAACACCTAAAATCAGGATTTTATACTAAAAGGGCAAGCTAACCTTACTAATGGTGATTACTCACTGTATAATAGAAAAGGAAATAAAAGCTTTTTTATAAAATGTACCAAATCCTAAGAGTGCTGTTAAACTCATTAAAGAAAAAATGAAGTTTGAGAAACTGGTCTTATTTTTTTTCACTCCCAGTAGAGTTCATTTCTACTTCAACAACTAAGCCAAGGTCACATTTAACTCACTTCAATTTCACCCAGTGCACAAGCTAATGTCAATAGTACAGCTGCCATGCAGAGCTAAAGACTGATGGTTAGACAAAGCCATTTACACAAGGCTGGGTCTTTCATCTTCTCTCAGCTAGTGACATAAGAAAGCACTGAGGTTATTCTCAACTAGAGAGTAAAACTGGCATATTAGAAAAAATGTTATTCTCCTTAGCTGTCACACAAAGGATCTGAAGAAATGTAGAAATGTTTTTTTCCTTGGTCATCTAGGGAGATCACAAAGTGACTCTAATAGCCTTCACTCTGAAATTTTCACATGGTTTAAGTGATTGCCAAGTCTGATATTTTCCATTTACACTTCATTGCCATCAGAAAAAGAAAAAAAATCAATATACCTACCTACTCAAGTGTGTCACAGGATGAGCTTATAAAAGAAGACATCAGTCTTTTTAGGGCATGAAAAATATACTTATTCAAATATATCTTATTTAAAATGACATAAATTGCAGTGGTTAGTCAAGATTCGATTTCCTCTGAAATATAAGACTTAAAATATTCCCTGACTTGCCAAGGAATAAGAATCCTTCAAACTGTTGATATGTACAAATGTACTCGTTTTCTCTTGTAAGTTATACCTGCCACAGTGTACCAATATGAGTGACTACCTTTAGGATTTTTAAAGGGAAGGTGAGATTTAACATATTATCACATTTCTCTGAGAAGCTACAAATAACTGGAACTTTGCCAAAACATGGGAACATAGCTTTTTTTTTTTTATTATTTCAGTCATACTATGTGTATGAATTTGAGTTGCAGCTTGTTGGCCCTAATATGATTCCACATGATGTCATGCTGTTCTAACAAGCTCAACCACCCTAAGCAGAACTCTCTTCCCCTTGCATGCTACAGCTCTTACATATTTTGTCTGTCCTGTTAAAGATTTCTAGCAATTTCCATACAACAATATGCAATGCCTTTGTTTCAGATTAATAAAATATCACAGGTACAATGGAATTGTCTTGTCAAAGATTTGACTGCTTGGCCACTGTCAAGAACATTTGACAAGTGAGAGCCAAATTTGTCCCTGACTGTTTTGCTCTCAATGGAAGTTGACAGGTCATCATTCAACTTATGATGTCGTTTCAACCCCATTATCGTTTTTACCTTGTTTTAGCACCTCTCTCTGGCAAAGGTAGTGAGTAAGATATTGAAGAACTGAGGTGGTATTTCAGGCTATCTGCCAGCAAGTGCTGAATAATAATGGAATTTATTTGCTTGCAAACTGAGCAATTGAATTTAGACTTTGAGGGGGTCACCTCTGTGATTTGTCCCATCCCCAGCTGGTCAATCATCTAAAAAGGCAGAATTACCAGGGTCAATTGCGAAACTCTTTCCCCTATGTGGTAGCACAACATACCAACCATACAACTACTAGGCCATCCCCCACAGTTACAAGTATTTCAAGGTCAATTTATCAATTTAACAGCTTCATCTTCTTAATCACTAAACTTCTGTCTCTTTGAGCTTGTGCTGAAAGACTGGGGCTGCTAATTAAAATGGAGCTTTACTAGCAAGTACACAAATTAGATCCTGTCAGTAAGTTTATTCTAACTATTGGTCATTTCTAAATGCCTTTTTAATCCCCTAATTTTTACATTAAAATTCAAAAGCCTAACAATCTTAATCACCCCTACATCAAATTCATCATTAAGAACAGGAAGCCAGATGGTATAATTTTGATTTACCGGACTTCAGCGTGAATTAATGTACTGAGTGCCGATAATGAATACATCAAACCTGATATTGCAGAAACCTATGAATCTGGCATGTTAAATTAATAACACACTTTGCACAATGAAAGCATGTAAGCTCATATAAAACTGAGGAGTAATGGTCCCTTTTATTTTAAATGGTCTTTATTAGCCTGCAGTTTTGACTCCTAAAAAAAAAGATATGAACATAGTGCTTAAGAAAGTTCTGTCTGTTTCCTATCTGTTCTTCTTTTTATGTAGACACGAAGTCGAATGAAAATAAAAATCCACCTCATTGAAAACTTTATATTTGTGAAAGATATATTGGTGAAGAAAGGGCCCCAGTGAGTTGCCTAAATCCATAAAATATGTTTTGAAATTATGGTTAAAAATTTGACAGGCATACTGAAATACACTTACCCCAAAAAGTTGTAGTACAGTGTTGTTGTTTGTAAAATTCTATTATTTCTAATGTGTATTGCTTCTTGTTCCAATATACCTATAGTGAATGCGAAGCTGAATAACATTTTGTTAAAACAGAGCATCAGGAATTGGTTTTACTGAAGAACAGAGGAATCATACATTTGGAAATAGTTGCTATAAAAAGAAGTACTAGGTAGGTAAAGAACCATGTTTACCACATTTTCTGATTATCTAGCTATTATATAGCATGGAGATGGCATAGAGGTTAACATTTTTGGAAGAAAATTGATCGATATCAAATTTGAGCCAGGGAGTAGCTTGTGTTCTAGCAGTGAGAGATTACACAGAGCTGAAATTACTTAAATATGTCACTTCTGAACAGATAATTTCACATTTACTTAGTGTAAATTAAAAAATATGTCAGTCGTTACATATTCTTGTAGACCTATAAATACAAGGATCCCACCTAATTCCTACTCACACCAAAGACAAAATTGCTTTCAATTTTAGTGATAGCAGGATCTGGCTCAAATACTTAAGTGTAAGATCTGCAGCTTCCTTTTCAAATATATAGTGGTAACACAAAGAGAAGTAGTTTCACCAGTCTGAATTCTAGCTCCGAAGTGTGGCTGCATTTTATAACTTCTAAATGAAATACAGTTTGAAATATTTTTACACTGAATGATCTAAAATATACAAATGTAGGCCTATAGACCATAAGCCAGAAAGGCAGGATGAGACTGGTCTCTGTTTTGGAAACCACAGATTGTATGCTATAAAAGGATTTAGAGAGTTAGAAGATGCCTAGTCCAGGCCTAATCAGGATAAAGCTGACTGGAAAAGTTAACATGAGCATAAACATTTCCCTGGGTTTATTCTGTCTCTCAATTTCCACACAGAAAGCTAATGTTTCAACTGTCTCGGTGTAGCTGTAGGAAATATATTCCAATAGTGAGGGTAGGCTGCTAATACCAGGGAAGACATTGCAAACCTGAATTAGATGCTACTTTCCAGCTAGTTTTCCTTATTGCATGAGTGCGTTCTTGCACTTACCAGTACGGCATACAATTTATACTGCCTAGAGATAAACTGATAAGATTGATTCCTAAACAAAACAAGGGATGCATTATGAATTTTTCTAGAGAAGATATAAAAAACCTCTTATGCGTCTTCTTTATATATTTAGTGTTTTTACTCTTCAAAGAAGTAGTACTTTACTAATATTTGGGGAGGGAGAAAAAAGGTAGTTGTTTCCAAAAAAAGAAATTTATATACAAACCATTCTAACAACTTGGATAGAAAAAGCCTGTTGTTCCTGGGTGGAAATGTTTCTCACTCTTAAATCTCTAGCTGAAGTTCATTTGACAAACCTATTATAAAATGAATAAATGTAGCTCTGTGTGATTTGTCCATTGTCAACATGTTAACACAATTTATTTGAAGGTAGATTGATGAAGGGTGGCTGAAGGAGTTTACTCTCCTGAGTTAAAGAATAGAAAACCCTTTTTCCTTAGCATTTCTTTTTTTCTTAGAAGTTCACAAGAGTAGATATACAATTATCCTCGACTTGCTGATGCAAAGGAACAGAGCATTTAGTTTCTTGTCACTGTCTCTGAAATTCCTAAAGGTACAATTAGCATTTCATTTGACATAATGTTGAAAGGTTCATAGATTGATCTTCCCTAAAATGCAGGAAGAATTTTTTGAAATGCAAATTTTGACATTTATTAACTTTTATTCCAGATCTGTTTATAGACTGTAAAACTGTGCATACATTTAACTCAAAGAAGCTAAAAGGACAATGTTTAGGTGGATACTCTGTGTTATAATAAAAGTCTATTTTATTGTTTCAACAATGAAATTTTTATTATCAGAGATTTATGATATCAGCACAGCAGTTTTTACTGCATGATTCACAGTGTTTTTATAGATGTATATTCAACAAAACAAGGAGAGAAATTGTACTGCAGTGCTCTCTCTCAGGAGTGCATTTCCCCATTGAAATAATGTCAGCAGTTTTCCACCTTCAAAGCCCTATGTTTTCAAATCAATTAACAATTCTAATTGTGCTGGAACAGTTGTTCACTTAGCTTGGCAAATGGGACAGGAAACATTATTTCCTTTCTTTGCCTAAAACGAAGACTTTAATCTTCTGAACCATATTTAACATATAAAAAACACACAACTGAAAAGTTAGGCAGTTTGGAAACTCACTCAGTTGTAAATATTGTTTTTCTCCGTGTTCAGATCTTGGTAGAAGAAAGGAGCAAGAGCACTACAGTTTCCGCTCTGGGCCAGCAAACCGTCTTAGAATTCATTCTGAATATTTCAGGTGAGATTTGTATCTATCTGGACAGCTGTAAGAGTTACTGCTTTTGCAAGATGGTAAAACAAACACTGATTCTGACCGAACAAGTGATACCAGAATACAGATCTGTATCATGTTACGCAGGTCTGACATAAAGTAAGTAATGCAACATGCCAGAACCAAGACTTAAAGGTCAAAATTACATTCCATTTTATTTATATATGTGTATATTGTGTGCTTGGGTAGGGGCATATCAAAAGACATAATTACTTTGTCTTCGTACAGAGACTAACATCCAACAGTTAAAATAAATGTGCCTGTTTCTTCTGCAAACCCCAAAGTGATTTACCAGATGGGCAAAATAATATTACTCCATTTAACAAATGGAACAATCTTGTGGTACAATGCAGAATCATGTAACAAGCCCATTTTAGGATTAAAGATAGTGCTTCATACTGAACAAAATGCGCTAGCAAAATAAAAGTAAAAATATGGATTTAAGGCTTTATCTTTGCATAGCACACTTGCATTACTCAATAGGTCATGAAGTGAGTAATAATGTCTATTATTCATATCAAGAGAAGTACTTGGTACAGATTATCTGTATGAAGGATCTGGTGAGCATTAACATATGTATTCACCTCAGTCCTAGCCTTGTGTAAGGATTTGTCAAGAATATGGTAATACTCTGTGTATGTAATTCTTGGATGGTCAGAACACCGTTTTTACCACAACTGCCTTAAACAGTCCAATCTAAGGAGTCTTCACATGCATAGCATTGTTGGAAATACTTTTTTAATATGATACCTATTCAGATCTATTCCAAGAAAGAGATAGACTTCCATGGCTGTTGTGGGTTTTTGTTCTTTTACAGTTTCACTGTCATTTAAATGTCTTCACTATTTATTTCTTTGCTTGTGTGATTGTGATTTTAGACAGGAGATCAAAGTAAAAATGGTAGCAAACTTTTAGGAGTTAATTAGAAATTCAGGGTCTAGAGCTGAACTTATTTGAGTACACAAAGATTAAAAGTTTTTCCCACCCCTTCCTTTGTTTAACACTGATGCAATTGTTCTACATCCTCATGACTAAATATCTCACTGCTGAGATAGACACTTTTTTATTGCATAATTTTAATTTTTCACTGATGAGGAAGGTGTCTCATTTGTTGCATCTCCTAGAGGAATGGGATCACAGAAAGATTTGTCCTGGTATAATTTTTAGGTTTCTGATTCAGAGCCTGAAACTTGACTCAAGACAGGGTGAAACTCATCAGAAACTGTATTCCCTGGGGGTAGTGAAGAAAAGGCTGCAAGAAATAAGTGGATAATGGTCAGTACCTAACTACCATTCATGAAATTATAATAGTACTTGACATGGATTTAGTTCTTTTTGTCTTCCTTATTATCGTACACCTCTTTGCATCAGCTTGGTATCAGTTCCTTATTTTGTAAATGATGATTTAAGCTAGGCATTATTCAGGGTATTTAGTCACAGTGACTACAGCATCTAAATTCAAGAAAGCTGCCAAATCTTCACTTTTTCTGTCCTCTCAGTGGTGATGAGTAGTCATAACACCAAAACTAGGTAGTGATAGGAGACAGTATTAATGCGATTTGCTCAATGATTTTGTCTAAGCTGATAACAGAGATTACAGTAGAATGTGGATATGTGTGTGCCACTGCAGATGCATAGACACATTTCACCACATGTGAATATATTTTTAGAGCAGTGCAATTTCTAAGATTAGGTCTAGACACCTAAACTGAGACTTAGAGGGAAATTAGATCAAAACAGCACTCTTGGAAATATTTGTTGCTCAATGGGCACTTTGATTTACCACTTTCCAAGAACAGCAGGAGACACACTGTGATGCCCTAGTTCTTGCCTAATATTCCTTTCCATTTCAGAAATGGACCCTTTCTCTATTTAAGCTTTGTTGGGACTCCATGCAGTTTTTCGTACTCATTTTCTCCCAGCACTATCAAGATCCCTAAAAAATACAAAGCAAATCTTTCTCTCTCTCCCTGAAAAAGAGTGATGTTCTATTTTTTTCCCATGTTTACTGGCTAGAACATCCATATAGGCAGTCCCTGTTCCTTTACATTGTCCCAGGAGAAGGTCCTAGTTGCTAGAACAGTAGCAGTTATGAACGCCTCCACTGAGTGTGAATGTTTAGGGCACCCATTTCAGGGGGAGAGTCCTGTATTTCTTGTCCCTACTTGTGTAATCACGTTGCTGAGCTTTGCATTCAACAATCATTGGCTTATATGCCAAAATGACATATATTTTCAGGGACAGAACCTAAAATCACTGAGCAGCCAGCATCACCAGACTAGAAAGCCATATTCCCAGTTTACTTTTCCTTTCTGGCCCAATGAATCTCAAATCCGTCTTGTCACAGTAAGTGTATCTTTATAACCAGGTTAAAACAAGAGTAGTTTCTTCCAAAATGTGCTTAGCTTTCAAAGCTGAAGCATAAAAATATTTGTGTCCCAAAAGCATATTTTTTCCCAATTTCTGACAAATGATATAATACATTCTGTTATCCCATTTTACAAATGTTGTTTTTCTCTTGCATATTTTCTTAGGGAGAACGAGCAATGCTCTTTCCCCAGAGTAGTGGGGGGAGCATTCTCTAAATAAAAGATAACAGCAGAGCAGGCTTCAGCACCAAATCCTTGTTGTCCACACTGCTTAACTCCTAGTTCATACTCTTCCTATGCTGACTGCAGGGCAAATCTCTCCTCTAGAGGAGACTAGTCCTAAGGAGTATAAAATCTGCCAGTCAGAGCCTTTTGACCTCAAAGAGAGAGGTCAGAGACTGGTCTCTGGCCCATTTTTATTTACTCATGTAGATACACCCAAATTGGCTGCAGTGCTTCACTCTGAGAAACAAGTTTGAGAAGTGTGCTGTCGATGGCTACACAGACATATCTTTTTCTTTTAATAGGAAGTAAAGAGATCATTAAATTCTTGGGGGAAAAAATATGGAGGAGCTTTCCTTCAAAAATCATTTTTGCGGTGTGGATTCCTAGGTAGCGAAGTGCCTTTCCAAAGATGCCAGGAAGGCATCTCAAAGAAGGCATGCGATTTTAGCTAACCTTTGCCACTGGTGTTTCTCATTTAACCAATTTTAAGTGTTGTGGGTATTTCCCTTTGAGACAGAAAAGTATCTTGGGTACCTAATGTGATGTTACAATTTCTGTTCTAGAGGTACTGCCTAAGGTTAGGGACAATGATATCTGTCTCTGTCATTTACCAAACTTAAACCTTGTCACAGTTTGATCCTGAAAAGAACTCCTTGATCTGGAAGCTGCAGCTTGTATGGAACCTGCCTCTCATTTGCACTTCTGGAGAAGAATGAGCATAGCTCCCGCTATGCTGCAAGGCTTATTCGCTTTGTGGTCAATTCTCAAATGTCTGTGAGAAGATTATCTGGGTTATGTATTATATGTGTCATGCTTTAAAAAAAAAAGGAAATTCTTTTCTAACCTCATTCCATGCTTATAGTCTTGTTCTTAAAAGGTAAATATACTAAACAGAATGTGCTAGCATTTACTGTATGTGTGTGGGTTTTATGTGTTTAACTTTATTTGGGTGCCCTGTCCCCTCCTCTCACTGTTCTTGGAGAGTTGGCAGCATATATGCTTGAAATCTGTTGCTATAGAGTTATACAGGGTTTGGTTTTTGTCTAAAATACTGTGAACACCTACAATACAATAAAAGCGGTCATTGTGATTTAGGATGGCTTATTCTTGGCCACTCTTTGTCCTTTCCACTGTGTAATTCATTCCTGCTATTCTCTTTTTTTTTCCTAATTTTTGTACCTGTGAGCAATTGATTTCTTTTGATAGGAGGTTTGATTGATGCTGTCTTGGCTAGATATCTGAGCTTTTTGAATTTTGTTTCAGTGGTTTTAGTGCTTTGTACTGTGTAATTGTGTAACACTTAAATATTACAAGTGCCTGAGACAAGACTAAATAAATAAAATTAAGTGTTGTGTGAAATGTTATCCTCTTTTGTTTTTCTTCATATATTTAGATTTATTTAATTAATAGCTTGCATTTTTTGTCTGATACTTGTTAGATAGTTAGCATAATAATAACTTCAGGATTTCTATCCTGAATTTTTTTTTAATTTTATACAAAGTATTGTATGACACTTATTCCAACCTAGTAGATTATTTTTCCTGTCATTTATTTATTATAGTTCAATGTAACTGAGATACACTTCATAATAATAGGAAGATAACATATTTATTGTTCTTATTTTAATCCTTCAGCTTTATCTTAAGATATGAATT